AAAATCGTTACAGGTTTAGTTACTGACGCTATATAGGATATAAAGTAACGTGTAAAACCGTATCGGGACTCGACATTCGATTTGGTTCTGATATATTTTTTCTACAGATCCATATAATCCCATATCGGGCCAGTAACTAACCCTGTAACCATTCAAATTAAATATGAATTTTCAATGTTAACAGTCGTAGTTGAAATTTGTATTAGTCTGATTGCTGATGACACAAAGAAACTTTGAAAGTTCACAAGTTTTAATAAATAGACTTAAAAATCTTAACTGGCAATGCCAAAATGGCGTCATTTTAACTGGTAAAAAAACTGTCCATTTTTTCAGTCTGTATTTTTAAAAGAAAAAGAAATATACATATATATCACTTGTATAAGATGTATATATAAATTCCCGCTAAACCATTAAAATTTCACGAACAATCAAACAAACTGCATTCCATATGAGACACACACCAACATACGTGCGTAAAATATATACATGTATGAACATACATATTAAGGCAAGAGAAGCTGCTCATAGTAGAAGATAAAATATATATGACACATGGATAACAAATAAAAACTAATGTAGAATGTAATATATACCATTCATGAAAATTTATAATTAGAAAAATAGATTTATAAATACCCTTTGACAGTGACTGTAGCATTTTAACATTTAAAGCTGCACGCCTCCAGATAAGACAAAATATTTCAAGAAAATCAAAAATGAAATTCTTTAACAAAGATTTTTTAGAAAAGTGAACAGATTCAAAATTCAAGTCATAATTTACAAGTAAAGTTAAAAGATCAAAGACTGAAGTAATAATTTACATGTTTATGACTGATTTTGCGGTATTTACCTCTTTATTTCTACTGCGTGGCTAACGCAGTGAGGGATATTTTTGTATAGTTTGATCTATTTTTGGTAATTTAAGTGCCGTATTACCTTTTGTTTGTTCACTTCAAAACAGTATATACTTTAAAATACATTTTTAATTTTTTCATAAAAATAAGCATGAATCTGGAGGCATGCTGCTTTAAAAAAAGTTATATCTGTTTATAAAGAACTTATCATTTTGATTTTTAACCTTTTATATAACAATTCAATTTCTAAATAACTCTTCTAAAACATTGAAAAATCTACAACTATATTATGCAATAAAATACTTTTTTATAGGAAAAAAATATACAAAAAATACTGTACTGTACGTTAGGTGTTATTACACGTTCCGATATGACTGGTGTTTGATATAAACAATGATGTTCTTAAATTGACGTAATGATGAATAAATGACGTCACTATTTTTGTTACACAAAATTATCACCACCAATGATCATAAATTTAGAAAAAAAAATCACTGTCAAACCTATGCTAAAGATTATTTGCGAAAACAAGAGAATCAAATATGGAGAAACAAATATTTCAGATTCAACCTGGCAGTGCTAAAAGTCACTTTTTTGGATTCAAAACTAAGGTCTCCAACTACAGAAATACAACTTGAATCTAACGCATGGAGAATGTTACACAAACATTACGTTTTTAACAATATATCGCAATTGGTAATTTGCACTACTATTTTTGCAGTCGGCACGTTTGAAAACGATATCAATACGTTGAAATCGCTAATTCATTGAAATAGTGATTTCATGAAGCTGAATCGATAAATTCGTGAAGTAAATATGTCCCTACCGTTTAATGCGCATGTGCACAGGAAGTACATGTTAATTTTGTATTTAAAAAAATATGTGCACCGTATAAAGAGGCCTAAGCCGTAACACATAGTTTTAGTATGGAAAAACTCGTTTTTAGTATTAACAAAGCAAACTTATGATACATTGCTAAAACTTCGAACAGTAATAATCTATTTATAGTATCGCTAGATCTATATATAGTAACAATTAACATGTATAATTTAACAGTAACGCAGGTCAGAAAATTACAAAATATAAACAGCCTGATAAACTTAAGGAAATAACGAATCACAGACAGAAATGACATTTTTCTTTAACACAATATTTTTGTCTCCATAACTTGAAATTATTTCGTATAAACGAAATAAATGGTTTCATAAGAACGTTAAATATACTTTCCACTTTTACGCTTGGATAATTCAACAAATAGAAAATGTGAAAAAAGGGGGACCTATCTAGACCAAGAAAATCTAAATGCTAGGTGAAAACAAAGTAAACTTCGTACAATTGTTTAAAAATGTGATGGCCGGAAATGAATAAAATGTTGACTTTATACTTTGATTCTCTTCTTTAAATTTTCAAAATACGATCCAGCGTTTTTTTATATACATGTATATATAAATTTTAACTGAAGGGTAACGGATAATATAAACCCATTGCATATGAAATAACATAAAAAATAGAATATGAATTAAACATTTGTTGAAACATCTGTTTATGTATATGGAAAAATATGACTTTTCATGTGAAACAGTGATATAAAAACCTATGTTTGAACACATACACACATTTTAAAATGGCAGCAGGAGCTCACTACATGCATGTACGTTTATGGAATTAATTTAATGTCATGCCAAAAATGGGTATTAAAACCGATTTTTCTACTTTTTTGGCGGTAGAAAAATATCAAGAGAGACTACTCTGTTGAGAATAATATATAAGACAAATTAGTTAACTTTTCCTTAAATTCTTTTTTTATCGAACCTTTTCAAAACATTAAATCATCTTTTGATTTAACCTTTATCCAACCGGAACCGGAAGAGGCAAGTCTTTACCACGTGTGCGCAGTCTGGTCAGCGGGCACATCCATGCATTCTGACCAGACTCTTTACTGTTGGCTGATTTACTTTAAATTTTTATCTTGATATCCCCAAAAGTGATAATGGATAGTCCCAAAAACGGGAGCTGGACAAGTCTATTGAATAAATTAAGCAGGTTAAAGGTCATATTAACCTGTGTAAATCAATTATTTTATCGAATTTTCAAAATAGACTATTTAAAGGTGAAGGATGTTTTCGTATTATGTTATTTACTATGGAGAATTAGATGTCATGTAAGCAAGTTATTCATTGAAATTGTATATTTTTAGATATTTGAACTGCAATGAAGTCAATTTTAATGGTCTGTATTGAAAAGATAAAAATGTAAATTTGACGCCTGCCATTATGAAAATTTACCAATACTTGGACCTTTCATAAAAATGTACAATGAAATTTTGACGTCTGCTAATATGCAAATTAACTTATTAGTGTACGTATGTATGCTGTCTACTTTATGAAAATTTGAACGAAATAAGTATATTTGTCGTCTGCTAAAAATCAAGTTACCGTAATTACAGAAAAAAAGTGTTTAAAACGGGTATATTTGTATCCTGTACCAGATTGAACGTTTGTCGTCTGCTAAAATGTAATTTATTTACGTATATATATTTTTTTATCAATTTTAATGTTATTTAGTCTTGTTTGTAAATGAAGCAAAATAAGTTAACATTTTTACGTAGAATGTGACGTCAAACTTACACTATCTCAGATAATCTGCTATCATTTGCACTTTATTTTAATGAACATCCTTGACAGGCTTGTGTTGATATTCATTAAGGTTAAGATGTTAAATAAGATTTTTAAAGCTTTTAAAAAATGCATATGTTTACAAATAAGGGTAAATTGTTTAGAATTGTCTTATTTGGATGACATTATATGCATATTCCAGTTAACATACATGTCATCTTTTTAAAAAAAAAACAATGTAAAATACATGTTCATTTTTGTCTTGAAATTTTTATAACTGTTATTCAATAAATTCACAATGGCAAAGCAAATATATTTAATTTTATATAAATTGCCATTTAATCAAAATCTCATTATTGATTATATCTGTACCACTTTATAAAATAAAATAAATAAAAAAATGATTATAAATAAAAATAACATATTTCTAAAAACAAAACAAAATGTCGGTCCCAATTAATGTTAATAACAAAGTTTAACATCAAATTCTCTCCAACATTGAATTCCTTCAGTATAGATAAATAATTGAATATTAATGCTTAAAGATAATTTGAGTAATAGAATATTATTTAATCAAGAGCAATCTTTTATTTCGTGAGACAATGTCCTTTGTATGCTTATTTGAGATTCAATTTAAAGAAATTGTATCCATTAATATTGTACTGTAGGGACTACAAAAGAAAAAAATAAATCAATGATTTGATGAATACATTTCTATAGAAGACTTGGCTTTTCTTATTAAAAATCCCACTATGAGGCAGATAATATGAAACTGAAATCTGACGCGGAAGATATGGAAATAGCAAACAACGGTATATATACAGAAATTCTAGTATAATAATCATGTCATGTTGGTGACCAAGGCTGTTCCGTGTAGAAAACTGTCATTTCCAGTAATAACAGACACTATCGATGTCCCAGTGATTCAATGTTAAGCTGCTCGAACGATGTACACACATATAAATCTCCGTACTTTCTCATATAGTATAGAAAACTCCATAATACAGCAGTTCCTAAATTCCTCGTGGATTAAAAACGATCGTGTTATAGGGGGAAATGATGAATAGCTTAGCTTTGACGGCCTATTTCCGGCGTGAAGCTAATTTCTACTAGAAACGAACACAATGATTTTATGCGTGCTAGCTTAATGGTAAAAAGTGTCAATATCACTGTATGTGCCGATCCGGCTCCGACAATGTTTCACATTTTACATTATAGCAACAAATGTAAATGGAATGACACAGTCAATTATTGAATTTATCTAACTACACACGTGACTTGTCAAAGTCAGTTATTGAATTTATCTACTTACACACGTGACGTGTAATAATAATCTCGTGATATTCACAACGCAATCTATGATAGCAAAATATTTCTTTCTCTAAATCTATTTTGTGCCATAGCGAAAATAAATAACGTTTTTTCATTTTCCGAGTCATTTTTCTCAAAAAATAAATAAATATGTATAATTTGTAATGAATAAATGAATGTTGCTAATTTACAGTTATGACAATGAGATGTTTATGTGATTTCACATTAAAGACACGGAGAATAAATCCGCTTCAGCACCAGAATTTGAATCAAGATCCATATCGCGATTGTTTGAAGATTCACTTCCGCTTGTGTTCGTGACGTCAACACTGCCGACGTCACTTGTAAGTCCGTCGCTTGAATTAAGATCAACAGTTGTTTGTGGACACTCATCTATATCTTTAAAAACTGCCTTTTCATCACGTAGGTCACAAATCACATTGGTTAATGCTTTGATGTAATTTTTCGCTAGTGTCAAAGTTTCAATCTTTGACAATTTTCTTTCCATGTTTATGTGTGGAATAACGTCACGAAGCCCTTCAAACGCGTCATTTAACGAATGCATTCTTTGACGTTCTCGTTCATTGCTTTCTATTCTTCGCATGTTTCTTTCACGTGCACTTACTCCTTTTCGCCTTTTTGTGGACTTTTTCGGGCTTTTCATTTTTCTTTCGCTAAAATCTTCACTATTTGACATACCACCTCCGGAATCAGAGGGTGATGGTGGCTCCTGAGACCTTGAACTTTGACCTCGCTTTGAGCATCCCATTATTGATTTGAATCCAGTGTAATCCCAAAAACTGTCGTCTGCATTAATTTCTTCGGCCATAGGAAAATCTAATTGTGACGTCATTTCTCTTGGATCGTCTGTAGCGTGTCGCATAATCTGAAATGTAAATTGCGTATTCTTGTAATTGATTATTTCATTTCAACGTAACATCTAAAACATAATAAAACAATTAATTATTCATCTTTAAGTTAACTATTAATTCCACATTCAGAAAAGTGCCCTAAGAGTATCGTGTTCATACTATAGTTACTATCTGCCGATATATCCACTCGATGTTACGTCTGGGGATTTGATAAGAGTGGAGATAAGAACGAAAATAGAAGAGAATTTTCTATTCTGAAATCCATATCCGTTCATGATAAAAAATGTAGAAAAGATGAAAATAGCATCCTACCAAATACAGTGTAAGATTATGCAGTGGCACGACTAAGAAATTAAGTGCAATATCGATCCGTTCTAAAATCAGTAAAACGTCGGAAAAGTAACGTTCTGAGTCGTGTTTTTATCGAAGCGTGTAGAACATTTTTTATTATTTAATGATGGTTTAATTATGTAATAATAACATGTAAAATTTAAAATCTTTCAACTTCTATCGCATCGTGTTTTATGAAATGTCTTATAAAATGAGGTAAATTAAATAAAGATAAATTTCTACGTTCGAAAATTGAAATGTCAGACATTTCAAATTTTAACCGGAAATGACGTAATTAGCGATGTCATTTTTGACACCTATGCATCACTTTTAGATACAAGCCTTCAAGCTAAATTTTTAAAATCCTAAACACTCTTACACCATTTTAAGATTTAATCCTTATTTTTTTTTTATCATACTAGCATAATTGTTAAAATGAGATTTAATTGAAAACGAAACGATGTTGGTTTTTTTTCCGCAAATTTATTAAGTGAAATTTATATTCAGTAACCAAATAAACATATAAACCTGTTTTACAGTTAAATATATCCTGGACTGTAGACAATTTAATAATAATAACAAATGAATGAAGCGTTAATATCCGGTTTGTCTTTCTGCTTTTTTTCTGATCAACATCAGTTAGTTATGACAAACTAAGATACGCTTGAATGCACAACCCGGATTATTACAATTCAAGCTCGCAATTTATAGATACACTGGTTTTAAATTTTTAACACGGGCTATATATTCCTAGGAAAAAATATTTTAAGGTAGTTAATCCATCATCAACTTCTGTCAATAAAGGCTTTTTCCCTAATTAAACGTTTATCAAGTTGACAAGACTTTCTTTATTGTTCTTAGTCTTACAGAAGCTTAATATTTGAATTTTTTTTTCAGACACAGAAAGGGGCAAATAATTCTGGAGTTTCAAGAACGCATATCTGGTTATTTTATCTTATCATTTAAGACAACACACGGACAGTGGCGAATTATGCATGATATTTGGTAGAGAAACTCACGTTAAGTGTCGAATTATGCCGGAGTTTCCCGAGCCTGAGATACTGGATTTATTTACCAGTAACTTATCATTTGTATAGACTATAGAAGAAAGCATACCAATCTGCAAGCATGCAATATGGCGATTTATCATGCGATGTACAGATGAAAGTAAATGAATGAGAAAATGGTCCCACATAATTAGTACAATAGAGTAGTTGGCTCACGATGATTTATCTGATGCTTGGTATATATATTTAGTTCATTAAAGCTTGTTAAACAGCTATATCAGCTTTTCAAATCTGGGTGATATTATTTGCTTGAGATAGAAAAAAAAACTGTCACGCTTGTATTAAAAATGTCAAGCTATAAAGAAATCTAATAAGATGAAACAAGTTGGTGGTAGAATGAATTGTAAAGATTTTGTTATCTATCTGCAAAAAAAGGTTTTTATAGATCTTCCTAAAAAGGAAGTCTTTTTATTGAAAACAAACAAATAACTTGACACAATGATGGTAATTTGGGTTTTTTGTTTTCTTTCGGTATTGAAAGAACAGTATCAATGCATCCTTGGTAAACATTACGTTCATATAAAACCTGGAAAACCCGTGCAATAAACCGGTGATTCTATTGGATAAAGGGAAACCGATACACTGATAATCCCCATAAATACAATTTAAGTAAATTTTATAGCATCATGAAAGTATGTCAAGTCGCAGCTGACTGAAATGTTAAATACCGAATTTGTATTTTTTTCTTCTTCTTTTCTCTCGTGACTTTAAGACAGTCAAATTTCCATAAATCTTATTGAAATGCGAAGAAGGAAACCTCGCGTTATTTCCAGTCAATACGTTGTTTCCTGCTCAGACCTGCCAGCGAATACCAAACACGGAAACATTTCATTTTCTCTTAACTTCAAGCAGAGTCTTTGGCGAAAATAACGGTTATATATATTGTATAATCAATGATTGTAAACATGACGTCTAAATAATGAAGGATATATATCAACTTTAATACTTTTATAGCATGCATGCATTTGACCCCCCCCCCCTCGAAACATCCGAACACGCCCACCTCCTAACCAATAACTCATTTCCTTAGAAAATAAGTTTCAGATTCTGTGCATCTTTTTTCTGTTATTATTTATTTATCTTTTATTTTTTTATTTACTTGTTTATGTACTAGATTTAATTATGCATATCCAGTGTGTGAGGTCAAACTTGTCCGAAAAGCATGAATCGTGGTTACTTTTGGAGAGGAAAATAGTTCTAGATTTTAATGTACATGTAAAATCAAATGATGGCATGTTGATTTAATATAAAACGTTTGTTTATTATTCAATTTAAATATGTACACATGCAATAGAAGTTTTGCAAAATATTAACACGCACACTTTATGATTACATTTGTATCTACATTTTTTGTTTGCTTTCCGGTTTCCAAGTGGATTATGGTATTTAGGGTAACAAAAATCGCTGTAACGACCGTATGTGAAAATATTTTAGAAAAACAATCAAATTGTGCTGTTTTTTTTTTTCATGAGATCGGGATAACATAGTTTGGAGTATATATCTACTGGCCTAAAAGTGCGCGCAAATGTCATTTCCACTCTATTTTTGTTCATTATGTATAAATTTGACCTTGTTTTTACCAAATAATCATCGTAATAAATACTAAATAGCACCTACATTATATTCATTATATAGTTTTACTGTAGCCTTGGTATATTACATATATCCGATAAGTGTTACAGTTGATATAGCTCAGTTCAACCAACGGTCATATGTCTTCATTCCGAATTTACCGTGACGACAACGACGATGATAGTCAGTCGTAAATACAATGATATAATAAACAGTCACTGTATTTATTATGTACAATAATAGTAGAAAATGACCTTTTACAACAGGATCTTATCGCTTTAAATATTTAGCGTGCAATTTGCATAAGATATTACAAAACTATATAAGCTAGAATGTTTTTCTCTGTAGTAATCATTTTCAAAAAGTGCAACAGCGTACAAAAAAAAGCTAAAAATTAACGTCCTGTTTTTCAATATTCATATCAGGGAAATATATATAGTGTGAAATATGACATTAATAAGTTATAGTAAATTAACTGGATAAAATTCAAAGTGCCAATGCTATTTATGTTCCAGTTAAAATGTCGTCTGTTTCAATTATATGTAGTTCATATTTTAAAAAGAAAGAGAGATAATACTTATTAAAGCAGAGTTGTTTGATAAATAAACTTTATCGAAACTTTGCTTTTTATTTGTTTCCTAAATATAGATTTAACGAGTTTTCTAAATCAAGTATAACGAAGAGTAATTCCATCAAGTACTCACTCAACTATCGTCTGCGACTAGTCCGACACAAATAACTATTTAATAATAGCCTCAATTCATCTCACTTAGTTTCTTCATTAATTTTTTTAATAAAAATCCCCATTTTATTGTTCTTTTTAAACGAAACAATTAAAAACTACAAGATTGTTGTTAACATCGAATGATTTAACAAATAAGCAAATTGCAGACGTGTGGTTTGTTGGCCTTGACCCCGTTTTCACGAGCGTCATGTAACTCGTAAAAAGGCATCCCTGCAAGATCCCGTTTTGCGGTCAATAAAAAACGTGTTGAGTTAATTTGAGCTCGTTAAATTTCGGTTTGGTAACTACAATATAAAAAGAGAACGAACAGATAAACACGGAAATAAGCGTTTGTAAAGTTGATGAATCGCGAAAAAGGACGCAGCAATTGTTTCGTCTGCTACGTGTCTTATTTATTTTCCATTTTCTCTTTTATGAATAAGTTTACAAGTGTTTCTCTTATCTATCCCTTCATGAAGACATTTCTCAGACAAAGTGTTGATTTAACATCACATAGGGCACTAACTAAAACATTACTTTTTTTCAAGATACATTTAAAGAGGATGTTAATAAAGCGGCAGTTTTATTGAAAATATTTCAGAACTTACATTTGTATACTATTCTCAATGAACAGATATTTCTTTTCAATCAAAATCTATATCGCAATAAGAAAGTATAAGAAAGTATGTTGACAAAATACGTTTATTTCTTTAAGTTTTAAGAAAACAAACAATGATATGAGATGACTTGATCATGTAAATGATATAAATCAATCGATCAAACAGTAAATATTTTATTTCTTTATCAAAGATTCAAATTCTGATTACTGATCAATTGTTGAATAAAACCATTTAATATCTAGATATTTTTTAGATTGACAACAATATTACAAGATTTTAACAGCTGATTACCCCTCGAAAAAAGAAAGAGCCACAAAAACAACAACAACGACAATAACACTGAAAGCGGACGCAAAACCAAAAGCAATATTGCACGACCTGTATTTGTTTAGCACGCAAGTTTAGTAAATCACAACTTCAAACGTAAAGTAACAAACCTATCGGTGAAGGAAGTTCGTTAAAATATTTTTTTATAAAAGAAACAAAAACCATTCATAAACCAATTTCAAAAATAGATTTTTCATGTCACGCTAAATTTGAACTAAATATTATGTTTAACCCTATAGAAAATACAAATGGCGAACTGACGTACCTTTTTACAAATTTACTATTTAACATCGACTTAAGCACTGTGACGTAGAAGTGTTAATTTTTAATTCAAACAGTTTAAAAAAATTCAACAATACATTTAAATACAC